AGGGTGGCAATATGTATAGGACATATGTAATGTCGAGCTGTTGTAAGGTAGGATACATGAGAGCCATGATACTACTTGGTTTTTGACCAAGTGTTGTGAGAAGAGAGAAGCAGAAAACTTCCATTGCATGCTCGGATAGTCCCGATTCCCGACTCTTATCCTCTCCTCGCCAGTCCTTATGCTGATATACGTGTCGTAGTCTCATTTAGCGTCATTATTCTTCAGTGCCAACGATTTCCCCCCTAGATCTCACGAATACGGAAGGGCTACGATAACTGTCCTGTCAAGTGGGGGTTGGCGCTGCTCATCAGTCGGATCTGAAAAGTAGAGGTGTCAGGACAGACCGCATTGTCCAAATTGGAGGAAGAAGGCAGCACGAACTTTTAATATCCGTCCCTGACGATAGTATACTTGGAGAGTGAGTTTCCTTGCAGGTCCCCGCTGTCCCAGGGCTCGAACTTCTGCTTGCTGGGTACGTAGTCACTAGCCTGATTTCACTCGATTGTGTACTCATTAGCGAGACGCTTCATAGTGAAATAGGGTAGTTGCTATGTCGTTCCAATCACGTAGCAGACGAGGTGGAGGAAGATCAAGTGACCTCAAAGCACAAACATGCTGGCCATCCTCATTGTTCCACCTATCTCAGCAAACTTGCCGATAGCTTTCACGACAGATTCGAACAGCAAGGCGTCCTGTTTGATCTCGATAAATCCATTGAGCTTCATTGACCTGCACTGGACTCCCTTCCCCCTGACCATTTTGATCAATCCTCGTCCAACCCCTGCCATTGGCCTTCATGTTAGATTCAAACAGCGAGGCATCCTGGCTGACCTCGATGAAGCCATTAAGCTCCATCGGACTGCACTGGCACTCCGTCCCCCTGACCATTCTGATCGATCTACGTCTCTCGATAACATTGCCATGAGCCTTCGAGCCAGATTCGAGCAGCGGGGTGAGCAGCGGGCGTCTTGTTTGACCTCGATGAGGCCATTGAGCTGCGCTGGACCTTGACCATTCTGATCGATCCGCCTCACTCAACAACCTGGCCAATAGTCTTCATGACAGATTCGAACAGCGAGGCATCCTTTCTGATCTCAATGATGTCATGGAACTCAACCGAGCCGCACTGGAGCTCCGTACCCCCTGGTCATCCCCGTCGAGCCATGTCTCTCAATAACATTGCTACGAGCCTTCGAGCTAGATTCAAGCATCGAGGTGTCCTAGCTGACCTAGATGAGGCCATTGAGCTCAATCGAGTTGCACTGGAGCTCCATCCCCTCGACCATTTTTGATCGATCCTCGTCTCTCAACTATCTTGATATCAGCCTTCAAACCAGATTTGAGCAGCAGGGCGTCCTATCTGACCTCGATGAGGCCATCGAGCTCCATCGGGCTGCACTGGCACTCCGTCGCCCAAGATTCCAGCGGCTGGATGTATCGCCGGACTTGGACGAGGCCTTTGGGCTTTATCTGCGACTCTCGAGTATCTCATGCAGTCTCTCGTAGTGATCTTGGTGCTGCAAAGTCATGGGCCACCTCTGCCGAGTAGTTCCCGCCATGGCTCTGCCTTTATCGCCTATCAAACTGCATTGAAATTCTTAGATCAGCATGTTCCTCTTTTTGTCGTCTTCTTCACTGCCACTTCGATGCCGTTAGGGACGCTATTTCTTATCTTGCCATAGGAAGCGTTCTCAGTGCAGTATTCGACATGGTTCTTTGACAACTGCTGTCGAACTGGTGGAGCAAGGCCGTGCGGTATTCTGGACCCAGTTGGCGCGCTTCCGCATACCACCGGACGAACTTTCCGTGTCAGGTGACACCGGCGCAGCATTGGCATAAGAGTTCAAGCGGCTCAGCTTTCGCCTTCGTAACGCGTTCGATCAGTCCTACTGAAGACCAATCTCTGCAAATCCGACAATTAACTGTGCAATGGGATGATGTCGTCTCACGCATTCGCCTGCTGCCTGACTTTTCTCGTTTCCTTCTCCCTCCACTGTTTTCTGCTTTCCAGAAAGCAGCTAAAGAAGGCCCAGTCAGTCATCGTCAATGCTAGTCAGTACAACTGTGATACCTTGAATATTATAAGCGCCCAAGATCCTGTCCACGATTCCGCTTGATATCGCGCTGACCGACGTCTCCGAGTTGTCCTCTGAGTTTCAGTATCTTGCAGAGCAATTCGGTTCTTCTGATCATCAACACAAGCTTGTCAGCATCCTCCGCGAGCTTTGGAAACATATTGTTGAACCCGTGGTCCATGCCCTTAGGGAGTCAAAATTCACCCTGGCTCGCGTATCTGGTGGTGTCCTACCGCTGAGTTCACGCTGCTTCCTTTACATGCAGCAGGACCCTACGAGGGGAAGAGAGACAATTTGTCTCACATTTGCATCTCCTCGTACACCCCGACTCTAGTGACTCTCATTCGTGCAAGACAGCAGGTTTCTCAAGATGCGTCCCTGTAAAATTTTGTGGCCATCGGCCAAGGAAACCCAGACGAAGGGAATCAGCACATTGCACCCGTCGTGTCCTTCACATCGCTTACGGACAGCCATGCAACAGTACAGGGAGCATTCGATGCATTGAGCCATAATCAGTGGCTTCACCCTGCCTGCCATGGCATGCCGAATCGAGACGAACCACTCCAATCTTCCTTCGCATTGCGCGACGGGCCTTGTAACGATCAGGGAGATCATCCAATCTCACTGGCAGAATCTGGAGTTTGCATTCTTATCGGCCTGTCACACTACAGCGGGTGACAAGTCGAGACCGGATGAGGCGATCCATCTCGCTGCGGCAATGCAATTCTCCGGATTTTGAAGCGTGATAGGTTCCATGTGGTCCGTCGACGACGAAGTTGCACGCCAGATTGTGTCTGTTTTTTACGGCAACCTAGTTGATGGTCCAGGGAGACTAGACTGCACACGCGCTGCGGTAGCGCTACACAAGGCGGTGAAATCGTTGCGCAAGAAGATTCCACTGGGGCAGCAGATCGTATTTGTTCATATCGGTGTATAGTTTGAGACTGCCATCGGTTTTCACTCGAATCCCACGGCTGTTATCACCTTACAAGTACACACCTACATTTTGAGTATACATTATGTATCTGCCGGAGTGTCGTACACGCTGTTTGCTTCAGTATCAGGGAGGCTATAACATTACTAACATATACAAGCGCTAGCCACGGTCAAAACAAGAAGGGATCGCCTTTATAAACATCTACCCAGTCATTATAATTTGTGGTATCATAAGCCCAGAAACATTCTCCGACAAAGCACGCAGTATACAGTGCTGTCAAAATAAGAAAGAAAGAAAGTGGAAACTATGTACAGGCGATATCTGACGTGATTTGAGGCTTGTCGCATACTTGTGCATAAATTCCATTAATATCGTCCCAATGTTAGCGACGTACGTGACCAGCCAGAGCGGGGTGACGGCGCGGCAGATCGTGCTTTGGGAAGAAAACCCTGATATCAACATCGCTGGGGATGGAATTCATGAGGGTCCAGAGGAGCACCAAATGACGGAACAATTCACCAAATATTAAACAATGCAGGGAACAAGCAACGAAGAACATGGGCGTGATGATCGACAACAGGTAGAACACGACGAAGTAGCCGCCTGGTTTGATATGCTGATACTAAGTCAGCCGGTGTAATGGTATGGCGAGAATAATCCTTACTTCTTGAGTCCATTGCCGGTCGGTGTGGAGCCAGCGTAACATGCTCGAGCCAGATGTTAACATCGCGATCATGGCGAGCATGAGGGATATAAAGAGTAGAAAATAGGGAGCGGGCGATGAATAATCAAAATAGGTCACAGGAGAGCCTGTAGTGACGAATACACTACTTGTAGCGAGGAGGACGCCCGCCTTTTTGGGAGTATGTTAGCGCAGGCTTCAGCTCGCAGGGAGTTGGGTAGCTTACTGCGGTGATAGCGTCGGCCAGAATAGAGCACAACCTACCCCTAACGACTCCGAACGCTTGCTCTGATTGCAGCGACTTCCAATGGTCTTCAAGATCGGAGTGTCCCAGTGCAAAAAAACTGAGTAACCTCATTAGAAAGGATATGTTACGAAGAGCTTCGGGGATGGGTTCCTCTTCGGCAAGTGCTCTTTGTTCATGTAGTCACTGCATATAACTTGAAAGGCCAGCGTAGGTCAGCGATACAGATCTTTCTGCGTTTTCAAAGCGCACCTCAGTGGAATAGTGTGTTGTCATTGCGTTGAAATAAAGAAGTACACATGGATTAGTTCCATACTGACTTAAGAGGAGACGTGAGATACCCACCATTGTCACAACTCAGCACTGGAGTAGGATGTTCACTGCAATGGCGCTGCTTGGTATTACAGGGTATCACACGGCCCGGGACTAGTCAGCCAATGAAAATCGTTTATCGTTTATGTCTTACAAGCGGTTGCCGCTGTGCGACCCCGTCATTGTGAGAGGAAAGGAGGATTCTACTTATAAGTAGTAGGCGCATGGCTTGAAGTGGCGCTCTGGCACGCGATAACCACGCGAGGCGCTGGACGTCCCAGCGCAAAAAAAAAACCAAGCACCCTCATGAGAAGGGACATGTCACGCAAGGCTGAGGGGAGGGGTTCCTCTCCGACAAGTGCTCTTTGAAAGCCCAGTGTAACATAGTTGTTTCTACGCTTTCAAAGCGCACCTCGGTAGAACAAGGCCACTGCGTCAAAGAGAAAAGTACAGATGGATTAATGCACTTGCCATTGTTTACTAGAACCGGGAGACATGACATAGCCGTGCTAACTATACTTCATCTCTGTGGAACGTTTGGATTTTTGACGGTTGATCATTTCCAATTAGTCTCGAATTGGCAGAGTCCCTCTGATGGAAACAACACCCCAGTTTGAAGAAAGACATGTACAGCAGTCGATGAGCGGCCGGTAATGGCAGGGTCCCGGTGCCGCTGCTGAGTTCAAGTATTCATGCCACGTTTACTGATACATACATCTAACACACATGACAAGAGCAAAAGTTTTGCATGGTCCGATGGTCTAATGGTTATGATTTCTGTCTCACATTATGTTGTGCACAGAAGGTTCCCAGTTCGATCCTGGGTCGAACCACATTTTTCTCTTTTGCACTCAGAAGATAGCGAAGTTCTCCTCCCCAACGCTTCCTTGGGTGTATCACTCACGCAGAACCGTTCGCTCGGTTGTCGCCACGAAATGAAGCATGAGCCCCTCGCCATTGCGTATGTATTTTGCATTGGGGCAAACGTGTTCTGAATGCTACGTCATTCAGGATGATATCTGATTTCTTCCACCCGAACGTGGGAGGAGTGGAAAACCACATATTCATGCTCAGTGCAAACCTCATCCGTCGTGGTCACAAGGCACGAAGTTTCAAACTTCCTTCGGTGTTCTCAACCATGTCGTTTATCTTACGCCCAAAATTCGCAGGTGATCGTAATCACACACAGTCATCCTCCAGACAGAGTGGGCGTTCGCTGGCTTCTGCCAGGCCTGAAGGTATACTACATACCATTTCCTACCATCGCTCCTCTGCCACTCTTCCGAATTATTTTACGTTTTTGCCATATTTCCGCGTCATCATTGCACGCGAGCATATTCACTTGATTCATGCGCATGCGAGTTTATCGTCTCTGGGCCAGGAGGCCATTCTGCACGCGCACCATCTTGGCGTGCGTACGGTGTTCACCGATCACAGTCTTTTTGGGTTTGAAGATGCAGCGAGCATATTAACCAACAAACTCCTTGCGGCTGCTCTCAAAAATGTCGACGCTGTAATTTGTGTCTCGCATACTGGGTGGGTGGTCGACCCTTACAATCGATATTGTCCTTATTCTCTGGTGGACATGAATCAGAAGGGAAAATACTGTCCTTCGCGGACAGTTGTTTGAGAAGTCTGAGGATTCCTCTGCGCTTGTTGTCCGGCCGAATGTTTATGTGATTCCAAACGCTTTGGTTGCCGAGCAGTTTACCCCAGCTACCGAGCCGGTCTCGTCAGAAACAAGTGAGTTCTTCTGTGTCGACGTGGTTGAATAGAACGACTAAACTTTTCTAGTCTATATCGTGGTCTTATCTCGTCTGGCCTATCGTAAAGGCATCGACTTACTAGTGGCCACTGCCCCCCGAATATGCTCCGCCTTTCCTAACGTTAATTTCATAGTAGGCAAGTCGCTCCATCCTCAGTATCGTCTAAACCTAATTCGCTGGCTCAGGTGGAGACGGACCTAAGCTGAACGACCTGTTGCAAGTACGAGAACGACATCTCCTCCAAGACCGCATAGAGCTCCTCGGTCCAGTCCGACATCGCGACGTGCGAGATGTAAGTGGGAGAGCAGCAAATCTGACTCTCATGACCAGGACTCATACGTGTCTCTGCAGGTTCTCGTGCGGGGATCTGTATTTCTGAACACGTCGCTGACGGAATCGTTTGGGATTGCCATATTGGAAGCTGCATGCGCGGGTCTTTATGTGGTCTCGACAAGAGTAGGTGGAGTCCCGGAGATTCTCCCTCATGACATGATATCGTTTGCGAAGCCAGAGGAGGATGGTACGTGTGGGACGCTGTGCAGTGCGCCTGGACCGCTTTTCACCGTGAGATTTTCTCAGATTTGTTCCGTGCGCTGTCCGAGGCGATTGCGATCGTTTCAAAAGGCCAGCATGACCCCATAGAAGCTCATCGAAGGGTAAAAAACTTCTACAATTGGGGAGACGTTGCAGAACGAACTGAGATTGTCTATGACGCTGTCATCAAGTCCGAGCAGAAGGATCTCTGGACTCGGATGCAAAGGTAACTTTGCACACACTCGTGCCGATAGACCCTGTCTGAAATGTCGTAGGACTATGGAACTGGGGCCGTTTGCAGGACCGATCTACACAATCATCCTTGTGGTGGATTGCCTGTTCTTCCTATTTCTGGAATGGTTGATGCCGCGAAACGATTTGGACTTTGTTCAAATGCACTGGGAACACGACAATTTTATGCAGGTACGGTAACTTCATATCGACCAACTAACACATCTTATCTCTCGAGGATAGCTTGTAAAGGATGCCGAACCAAGAGACGATTAACCATAATCACTAAAAACATAACATGCCAAGATGAGAGTGTACTGCTAATACTTTGTCCAACTGGAAATGTATCATCGAAAGCAGACTAAAAAGTTGAACAAAAAGAACGGAATCGGATACTAGGATATCATGCCACCACACGCCTCGGCTTCTTAAGCTTCCCTCCTCGTCTCCTGCTCCGCCTGGAGCCATCGTGCCCATCATCTACATCCATCAACGCGTCATTTACAGTAAGGTCATCCGAAGGCCGCTTCATAGGGACCTTCACGCGATCTCTTAATGAAAAGGATGACTGGCCGCCATCGACACCCAACCTGGTCAATTAAAGAGCTTCCGCCGCGGTTGTTAGAAGGTCGATCGAGGTGATCTCTAGGGAAGGAAGTATCTTCGAAAGGCTGGTTGGAGCGTGAACCAGAGGGTGCCCAAGGCGTAGAGTCATGACGGGGACGAGTTGAACGAGGACGTCTTGGTTCTGTGTCGGGACGAGGAGGTAGAGAGATGCGGAAGGTTATTCTGCAGGAGTCGTGCACGTTCCGGATGCATAGCGAGCGGAAGGGATTGATGCGGTCCTTCGCCGTTTGCGGCATGCTGGCCGGAGGGCAATGGCTGCACATCGGTGTGGCGCGAGGACCACTTGGAATTTTTTGAATCGTCTGCACGCCTTTCCTTAGCATGATCCAGTGAAGGAAGACCATGGTCATGACGATCATTACGACCACTGTTACGTGGGTATTCAGGAAGATCTTTTTCCTCCTTTCTCTCAGGGGCATGCGACCGCGGTTCAGGCACCCGGTGATCACGAGGAGAGACGTCCCTATCGTGCTTAGATTGTTGCGGACGGAATGAGCAGCATCGCGAGCCGACGTCATGGAAGAGTCCCTGGAAAGTGGAGGAGGGGTGGCGCGATCATCATAATGATGGGAATGAGGACTCTCAGGCGTCTGATCACGTCTGCTATTGAGAGATGATTTCCCGTCATGTTCCAGGACTGGAGGTCCAAACCGAGTCTAAAATGCTAGAGTCAGTCAAGCATCAACCACTATACTCAAAAGACCCACTCTTGCCGCACGGGCGCCTGGTCGTGAGGGTGAATCAGTATTCATAGGGACATTCGCAGGCGGGTCAGGCAGAGAGAGGGGCTTGCGCGGGAGAAGCTGTAAAATAAATTTCTTGTTAGGCCAGTTCATTTCCACACAAGAGAACGTACAGGGGAAACTACGCGCTCTGTTTGCCGACGTTGATCGACAGACATCTTGGTCGAACGCTCTCTATCATAGACAACATCCAGATGGGGCTGTGTGTGTAAGTAAATGGAACAGCGATGACAATGATACTCATGTAAAACATACCGGTCGCTCGTGGCTCTCCTTGGCACCAGTAGGTGGACGAACAGGGCGTGAAACCACAGGCTGCGCGTTACTTCCAGACACTTGAGTGCCTCGCCGTGAAGCGGAACTGGCTGGAGGCGGTAATGGGGCAGACAATAATGGTGGATGCGGTGAAATTGACGCAGAACCATCAAAGCGATTACCCCGACCACCAATCGGCATGCTGTTTGTTCCAGAAAGCTTTGGCGTTGGAGCACTAGGAGGGGGCCTTGACATATCAACCTGACGACGAGCAGGGTCGCGCTGTAAATCCAAATTTAGAAACTCGATAGAAGTCATCAAAAAGGTACTAACAGAAATCCGGGTCAATGATTCAGCAGGCGCACGCCTGTCATCCCGCGAAGGCGCAGCTCGAGACACACCTTCGTGTGCTATGCGGTGAGGCTCTCTCCATTCAGAACGTGACAGTTTGGGAGAACGATCTATTTCCAGGTTATTTCACGTAATTGAATGAGGTAATGCAAGTGCCTACCTGGAGATCTCCGTCGTGCAGGCGTATCATCATCCATCATCGCCCGAGGGCGTTTAGGAGCGGAGCCGTCGCGATCCTCCCGATAGCGCTGACTGTTCGCAAGCTGTCGAGAAGGTTCAGTGGACTTGGCGATACTAGCTGGAGGAGGGTCATCAATATCCATCTGATCTTTGTCTCGTTTATCCCTAGACTCATTATGAGCATAGGTATCTGTATGAGTGTTCAAGTGAGGCGCATAACTGGAAGGCGCTTGCCGAGACCCTCTGGTGTCGGAGGATCTGATGTCTCTTGAGGTCTCCAAAGGAGACAGGCGTGGGCCAGAAGGAATGCGTGCATCGTTGGTGATCAACCGAGAAGCTGGGGCACTGTCACGAGTGGCAGACGGTGGCGAGCAGGTGCCCGGCATCCGCTCTGCCACGTGAGCCCTCTTGGAAGCTGTCACGTTGCGGTGGCAAAGGCACCCGTTTTCGAGAGCCTGAACAAGCGAGAGATGTACGCGAATGGCAGACGACGTTGGCATGAGGAAGGAAGAGTGGATGGGTGAAGAATACGTACGTTCGATTGGGGGGGATGGGGTGGGGGGTACCAACTGCTCCTGCGGAGCTTGGGGCAACGTCTGAGGCGCCATGTCCGGGCTTTCGTGAGCTCTTGCATCAGCTTTATGGCGATCACTTGTTCGATGACGAGACCGAGTGGCATCTGCGCTAAGCGACCTGGCTTGAGGGCGCGGTTCTCGCAAGGGCTTGTCAGGTAGATTTGGAGTTCGTTGGTCCATCTGGGCAGAAGGCGCTTGAATGAAGCGACTTTTCTGCCTCGCTGCGGACAACTCATTGCGCGAAATGTCGATATCGTTCGAAGACGGCAATGTGGGCGGATGCTGAGCGTCACGACTGTGACTGATAGGCGATCTGGGTCCTAAAGAATAACAAAGGAGAAAAGAAAAAAGAGGAGGATAGATATAAGGATAGGGGGAAAAGGAGGAAGAAGATAGGGATCCATGATGAGCGTCCGAGTGTCCATGCGAGGAAGAAGTCGAATACAAAAGAACGAAATATGGTACTGCGCAGCTCAACTCTCGAGGTTGCGCGGGACGCAGCAAAGGCATTACGCCCTGTACCCCAGGAGGAGCAGATACGCCGACGAGAGATGAGGATAGGGGATGATGT